CAAACACGCCTCCATCATCTCCAATAAGGACGTCCAGTTGATCAAGTGGCGAGATTTGCCTGCGAAGCGAGAGTACAGCTGCCCACAGGCCCTCCTATTCCCTCACACTTCCTCTTCCTCCTCCTCCAGTTCGACGTCCTCCCGGCGTTCCTACTTCTCTGACCGGCCCACCTCAGAGGGGCCGTCCCGAAACAGTGACATTATTAATTTTGTGCTGGAACAGGGCAAGCCGGAGATTAATACGTTGGGCGTTGCCGGCAGTGGCAGCCCCCAATCGCCTTCCTTGCGAGTCAAAAAGGACGACACTAACGAGGAGGAGGAGGCCAGAAAGTCTTCCGCCCTCCTCTCCGACTTGGTCGCATCTACCGTCTTTTGATAATCATTATCATCATCATAAGTGCCTACCCGCTCATCGTAACTGCCCTGAACTGACTTCTTATATATCTCATTTACTTCGCTTACTGTGACTTTCGATGATTTTACCTTATTCCGTTCCCGAATTTTATGAGATATAATCGGATGAAAAGACCTTTCCACTTTTATTCACTTAGATCCCAGGTAGAAAGTAAATTACGTTAGCAAAAAGATCGGAGATTAATTGTTTGCCGAGTAATAGACCTGCTGCGGGTTGTCTTTTTGTACAAAGGGATTGAGTTTATATCTGCAGATATCTGTGGATAAAGTCCAGGATGCTTCGATAACGGGAATTTATTATGCAGAACAATAAGTGCTACAGCAGACGCTTCTAGCAGTAAGAACGTCATTCATATGTCGGTCTTCTGACGAGGCAGAAAGGATGACATTGTCGACGAACTTTGAAAGTCGTCCGCCGCTCTCTCCGACAGGTTTGCATTTATCGTCTTTTAATAATCATCAAAAGTACCTGCCCGCTCATCGTAACTGCCCTATCGGACTTTTTATCTCCCATTTAAGTTATTCAAATAATCCTCTCGCCTACTATGAATTTTGATGATTTTTCCTTATTCAATTCTGGATTTTTATGAGAAATAATTGGATGAGAAGATCCATTGTGTCGCTTCATCTAGCTTTAGGATGTAAAATGAATGACTCTATCAAGGGATTTGAAATTAAAAGTTCGCCCAGGATTTCGTCCTGGTGGAGGTTCATTATTCGCAAAAAATGCGATAAAGCTATTATCTGCAGATATCTGTGGATCAAGTCTAGAAGGCTTGATAAACGGAAACGGACTATCATTGATAAGGGTTCACCCAACCACTAACGGGTGCAACTAGTAAGGCCTCTGCTGATATATAAATCTGCGTTTTCTCCAGTGGTTATAAGAGTGCTCAAACGATTTTCGCTTCTAATTTTATATGATACTATCGCCACATACGCAGGGGTTAAGTAAGTGAAACCCTAGCAACTGCGATCTTCAGACCATGGTTACTTAGTAGAGAAGAAGTCGGTAGAGGCCAGAACAGAAGGAACAGTATATTGTGTACACATAGAAACGGAGAATAGATGGAAGAACTTTGACTTGGGAGTACACGACCAGCCAGGAGAGCCAGCCGGATTCAAGTGTGGGATTAGCAGCTGGAATACCAGGGGCCAGACAGAGAGCGTTCATTGGCTGGGTCGGCCTTGAAGGTTTTCGGCCAGACAAACAGATCATGTCGGCTGTTGACTTGTACATCACAACTCTTCATGTCAGTCCGTCACGGTGGCTCATCCAACCTTTTTGGCATAATCTCTGAACAGAAGTCCACACTAGTTAATAATTAGATCATGGGTTCAGAGTCCAGTTGCTACAGAGTCAAATTTCTTTGCGTAAATCGATTACTGAAGTGGTCGGGGATTTGCCGTTTCATATGCCGTAAGAACATTAGGATTCACACTGGTGTTCGTGACCTGGACGTCGAAGTTGAGTGCTGGAGCATCTTCAGCATCATGCCAATGTTGTAGACGCAAAGCTTAGATTGTGTAGTCTGCTTTAAAAATCATAGGTTACAATGTAGTGTACAAAGGCTTCACATATAAACGGTTTCCGAGAGAGAAATTTCGGTAGCGCGTAATATATACGATATCATATTCAATTTTTGTGAGTTCTTTCAAGCTTTGTCTGAAACCGAGTCTCAAGAGCTGTGTAGGCAGTTATCGATGGTGTACCGCGAATATTATCACCCTCAAACGCTATGGCTTTACATTGCAACCAGTGAGCTTTCTTACTCGGTCAAATGGCCACAAGGAACCAGTAATCGGAAGAAGTCTCCGAAAAAAAACAGATGATTATTTTGGCATGTGCAGTCGTACATTAGTCACAGAGCGGAGAAGTGCAAGGGAAAAAAAGAAAATCGGAATTTTATGATTTGACATGCTGTCTGAAAACATGTGGAGTACAAGGTTTTCTCAATCCTTTCAGCCAGATGCACCACGTTCGCAGTGCCATTTTTTGCTTATTTATTGTTCTTGTGTACTTTAAGACAGCCGTGAAAAGTGAAAATACTCATCGCATTGAAAAGGAGCAGACAAACCCCTTATGACATTAGTTTGTTCGAAAAATACTGGTTAAGTTCAGTAATAAAAATTTATTTTTGTAAAACGTAACACTAAGCATGTTCAAATTAGTCAAAGTACATTCTATGAACACCTATAAATAACTGTAGCGATGAAAAAAATCATTCATGCCTCGTTGATGCTAAGACGTCGGAGCCGTAGTAACTGAGTTTCTACA